ATGTTTTACATCATGCTAGCACCTCCCCCACAAAAAAATATATCATAAACCAGGATGCTGATGAAAACCTCTAAGTTATTCTAAAATTAAACAGCAGAATTATTCCTCCACTTCACTGGATATTTTTTAAGTATATTAGAAAAGCTTTATTTAGAAAATTGGAAGAAAATTAGCCAGTGAATAATATTCCTCTATTGGGTCACACTATAAAGAATATTCTTTAAATTAGATCTTAAATACAACTACTTTAACACCAAATCAACAAAGTCTGCCAGGTTGATATATTTTTATCCCATTTTTCAATCTTTTTTCATTATTCCCAACACTTTTATCTAATTAAAACTTGACTATCACCAAATGAACCTGAAAAGTTTTAAAGACAGAGATTAATGTTTTTCATGCTAACAAAAGACAATGCTTAAAATAGTCTCATTCATGCATTTCCAAAGAATATGTATTTATAAACATTATAGTGAATCAAAATGAAATTGATTTTTTATTAAAATCACTTTGAAGAGATAGAAAGCTGTCCTTGCCCACTGTGTATAAAGTATTTTATTACATTTTCTTTTAAAGAAATTGCTTTAAGAACACAACGAGAACACAACGAGCCTTATGTACAACACAACGAGAAACATAATATATTGTTAGAATACAAACATTTCATTGAAGAATTGCTTCCCTCAGGCAACATGGAGAATGTTACCATCAGAATTTATAAAATAATAAGTATTTGATATGTTTTATAGGATCCACTACCAAAGTGTTTTTATGAACAATATTAGAACTTAATACTCTCATGCTTATTTGTGTTTTGATTAATCACTTATTAATTCTAATAACAAAAGGTCATAGAGATTGTTGACATCTAAAAAAGAAAATTTACATTAAATATTAGAGAACTGTATTGAATAATGCATTGTTTGAATAACCAGACTTGTTTTAATTAGCATTTTTCATTGTATATTTATTTAAAACCAGACAAGGGAATAATTCATATGCAGACTATTGAACCACTTTTCTGCAAAGTTTAGAGAAACAGTGAACACCTTATATAACCAGAAATGGGAAAACATGATAGCTATCTTGCTGATAATGACCATATTTTCTGAAAATACATGTTAGAATTGTAATATGCATCTCTTTTGTGTACTTAAACATGGTGTTAAAGTCCAAAACTCTATTACGATACTTTTCCATATGCCATATCCTCAAGCAATTTCTAAAGTCATTGAAAAAACAATATCACTGTACATAGAAGGACCCAGAATCTAGTTTAATTCAATAAGCAAGTACTTAATATGTTTTAATGACTAAGTATCAGAGTTTACATAATTCTAAGATTGAATGAAACTCTAGTACATATGTGTGCAGGGGGTGGGTGGCTGGGTGGGTGTACTTTCCAAATCATTTTGCAGAAAGGGAGATCCTAAGCATAGGACAGTCAGTAGTCAGGTTGGACCAGCTATTAATATATAGCAAAAATTCCTTGCCGAACATCAAGGACATTCAGTAGAAACCAGAAGGTTGACATTTTTTGTAGCCCTGAGTAAATGTTTCTCCAAATCTCCCCTAACAAAGCTTAAAAGCAGGTTTTGTAATTATTAAGCCGATCTTTATGTAACCACCTTCTAGAACAAAAAACACAAAATTCATATTGTTCAGCATCCAATCAAAAACTACTTAAAATTCTTAGAAGCAGGAAACTAGAAACCATTACAGAAAAAAAAAATCAGTCAATGGACAAAGACCAAGAGATAGCAGATATGACAGAAATAGTAGAAAAAGACTTTAAAGTGGTATTTTAAATATATGTAATATGTTCAAATATTCAAAAGAAAGAACAAGTATAAGAGCAGAAATGGATGATCTAAAAAAGAGCCAAATGGGACTTTTAAGGATACAAAATATGATCTCTGAAAGGGAAAACAATCACTGCACAAGACTAACAATAATGTAGACATTACAGGTTATAAAAACCTTGACTATTAGAATATAATAATAGAAACAATATAAAACAAAGCAGAGAGAGAATAAAAGTACTCAAAAACTAACTAAAGATGTAGGTTAAAGGACACAAAGTAAGCAGATAGGTAGAATGAACAAGTCTTGAGATCTAATGTACAGTATGAAGACTATAGTTAATAAAATTATATCGTATTGGGGATTGTTGTTAAATAAGTAGATTTTAGCTGCTTTTGTCACAAAAAGAAACTATGAGAGATGATAGATATGGTAACTCATTTAACTATAGTAACAACTTTTCTTATAACAACAAACTACCCAACTATCTGCCTCCATATCAAAGTACTTCTTTTTGGTTACTATATATGAAACTTTTTTATTCCTACCTGAGGCTAATTTATCTACTTATGCACTGAACTCAACAAACCTACTGAAATAAACCCCAATTAAGATATAACTTCTTTCTTGATCTATACACTTTCAACTTCTAAGAAGTTGAGTGACATATCTTCACCCAACTTCTTACAACTCTATTTTTGTGTCTCCCTTTATTAAAAAAATAAATAAAAAGTATATTTCTCTGCATGTTATCTCCTTGGTAGACTCATTCTTTTCCTGCTTTATTCCCCATAAATCCACTGAAATCATTCATGGGCCAACATCACCAATGACCTCCATACTACCAAAGCCAGTGATCAATTTTAACCATGACCTTCTTTAATCTTTCAACATTTGACACATTGATCACTCCCACCTCTGACTTGACTTCTCCTGATACACTTTCTTCATTTGACTTCTGGTAGGTAAACACTCTCGAGGATTTCATCTTATTCACTGACCATTCCTTCTTGTCTATTTCTGGATCCTCCTCCTTTTCCTGGCTTTGAAATATTAGACCTAGTGTTCTTTTCAGATCTCTTTTATTTTCTCTTAATGTGCATCTACCAGGTAATCTCATCAAGTTACATGCTTTAAATGTCATCTCTCTTCTGTTCTCTAATTTCTTCTTTTTTTAGTCTGAATCTCTCCTCTGAGCCAGACGTCTATAACCTCTGCCTACTTGACATCATCATTGCATATGTAATCAGCATCCCAAATCAGGGTGTACAACAAAACCAAACTCTCTTCACACACATCAATCCTACTTCAATCCTAGTATTTCCCATCTAATTAATTAACACAGCATTGTTAACATTTCTTGGAGTCCTCTTTGATTTCCTTCTTGGTCCCACACAGCAAAATTAACCCATTAGTAAATCTTGTCAGCTCTACCTTTGAAATATATTCAAAACCAAACCACTTTTCACCATCCCCTTCAGGCTCAATTCTATTCTAGGTTGGTTTCAGCTCTCACCCAGAAGACTTCAAGGGCCTCCTTGCATGTCCCTCTGATTCTATTATCGTCCCCCTAGAGCTGATTCCCCACACAGCAAGCAGCATGATCTCTTTAAAACATGGATCATATGAAGTCTCTTTCCTACTCAAAGCCCTCTGATTTCTTCCCAACACATTTAGAGTAAAATCTCAATTCTTACTATGACCTACAAGGTCCTGTCTGATTAGGTTGCTGGCTTCCTCTGGGACACTCTTCCAAATCACTTCCCCTCATTTACTTCTCTCAACCTCACTCACTTATTTACAACTTTTGGGACTCGCCACATTGTTCCCTCTTTCTGGATCCCTCTTCACCCAGATCTTCACTCAGCTCACTCCTACATCTTATTCAGATCTCCTCACATTGCTTTGCTCCTGAGAGAGTTCTTGGATGACCCTGCTTAATTTAATATCATGAACACCCCGCCATCATGTTCTATCCCTTCGCCCTGCTTTACTTCTCCTCATAAAATGTCTCACTACATGATATTTTACTTACATATTCATAGATAACATGTTTATTGTCTCATTCTCCTACTGTATTAGCTTCTGGAGACAAAGTCTTCATCTGCTTATTTCACTAATGTAACCCCAACACCCAGTACCTGGCAAGTGGTTGGAAAGCAGCAACCTTTGTTAAATAAACTGAAGGAATAAATAAATAAACCAATAAATGACTTAATAGGAACATGGAAGACTGTTCAACAAATGTCACACAGATATAGCCAGATGATGAGATTATGGATAATAACATTCTTCCATGTACATTTTTCTACTTATGCTTAGTATCACTTGAAATGCTTATGCATTATCCTCAAAATAAAAGAAGATTATTTTCAATACTATTTAGTATATGATGGTTTAAAATAAATCAAAAGCAACATCAGGATAATGTTACTTCAAAGAAGCTTGGGAAGCAGGTACTGGGAAGGTGGGACAGGGAAATGCTATGGAAAAAAATTATCTTAAATTTTCACTGCTGTGAGAACCAAAAGCTTCAGATAACAATAAACAGAGTATAAGTAATTAGCTATTAGGAAAGTAAAGATATTTGTCTTTTAAAAAATATATATCAAAATGTGAGGTCAAGCTAGTCCTACCCAAAGACATGTTTTAAATGTAAAGAATAACTTTTTATTGACTCAATTGTCTGAACTTGAATTTTATTTAGAATTCAGAATTCTTCACCACAGTACAAAAAAGGAACATTCAGATGTGACTTACCTTGCAAAGCATAAGATAGATTCCAGATAGTGAGCTGTAGATATTCCTTACGTAATGTTCACTCATTCACTACCCAAGAACATTCTGGATGCTTGTGCTCTTCTGTTATCTTACACACAAGGGAAATTTCCATTTTGAGAAAAGTAACATCAAATTTTCTTCATTGTTACTATATGCAATTTCCATGTTAAAGGTAAAAAAAATTATATTTATAGGATACATTTATATTCATTGCTCCCACCTAATTCATTCATAATTAACTATTAATATTAAATGATTCATATGTTTACAGTTATGCTAGATTATGAATCATCTGAATATAAAAATAAATATGAACAGGTTTCTAGCCTTCACAGACCCATGACTTTTCCCCATAATTTAGTGTTGCTATAAAGAAATGTCTATGGATGAGTAATTTATAAATAAAAGAGGTTCATTTAACTCACAGTTGTGCAGGCTGTATAAGAAGCAAGGCACCAACCTCTGCTTCTGATGAAGGCCTCACACTGCTTCCACGCATGGTAGAAGGTGAGGAGGAGCCAGCCTGAGCAGATATCACATGGAGAGATGAGAATCAAGAGGGATTGGTGAGAGGTGCCAGCTTCTTTTTAACAACCAACTCCTGCAGGAACTAGTAAAGCAAGAACTTTCTCATTACCTCAAGGACAACAAGCCATTTATGAGGAATCCACCCCCATGACCCCAACACCTCCCATTAGGCCCCACTTCCAACATTAGGGATCAAATTTCAGCACAAGGTTTAGGGAGAGATATATCCAAATATGGCAGCCATCAAAAAAAAAAAATGAACTCCTTTACTTAAAGTCATATAATGTGGGAGTTAAAAAACACAGGGTTTGGAATCAGATGGACTATATCAAACTTTCAACTCATTTTTTTCATAGATATATGCTATTCCATTGTATGGATGTAGTGGTATTTACCCAATCAGTCTGCTACTGGTATGGATCCCGTGTCTTTTGTAATGAGACAATGTAAGACAGGGCTGCAACAATCATCCTTGCACACAGAACCTTGTGTATTTGGTATATTTATCTGCATAGAAATTAACAGCAATATCCTCCAGATTTTTGTAATAGCCTTCTAACTAGTGTATCTATTTTGTCCTTGTCCTTTTTATGGTGTATATAAAAATATAACTTAGATTGTGTCAGTCATTTGCCCCAACCCATCAGTGGTCTCCTCTACTCTCAGAGCAGAAAACAAAGTACTTCAATGGCCTATAAGCCTCTTTGTGAACTGCTCATCTTCACCCCTGGTATCATTTGACACCATCTCCTACCACTCCCCACCACAGTCACTTTATTCCAGACATAATGGCCCGAGCACTGTTCCTTGAACCTAACATGATGCAAGCTTTCATCTTAGAATTCTCTACATTTGCTTTTTCCCACTAATTGGAACTCTCTTTGCCCAAGTCTCTACATTCCCCTCTCTCGCTTTCTTCAGGTCTCTACCCCAATGTCACCTTCTCAGTGGGGTCCTTTCTGAACACCCCACATACAATTAATAAAACACTTCGTCCAAATAAACAGCTCTTCTAATTCCCCTTCTCCTGCCTTATTTTTGTCCAAGGCATTAATCACCATCTGACACACTTTGTATTTACTTATTTATTTACTTTCCGTTTCCAGTCTTACTCCAAATGAAAATATAGCTCATGAGGCTAAGGACTTTATTTTGTCACTGCCATATCCCCAGTAACTAAAATAGTGCCTGGTACATAGTAAGTGCTCATTAAAGACTTTCATTAAATGGATTGACAAAGGAAAAGAGAGTCTCAAAGTTTTGCTAAATGCTGAGAGATTAACCTCTCCGAAATGTTGCAGCAGTCATCAGTCTTCTGTAAGTTGTAAGAACAATTGTAACAACTTCCCCACACTTTCACCAACACTAGGCATTATCAATATTTTTATTATTTATTCATTGATTTTCAAAACGATAGATGTAGCTTTTATCAAATGCATAGTCAAACTCTAATTTATAACCAAAATATATATTTAATTTACTTTGATGTATGCCTAAGTGACACACTATACAGAACACACACAGAAACAATGCAGATAATTAAAGTTTCAGAGTTAGTATTCTTAATAGGTCATGCCCACACTTTTTTAGCTATAACAATTAAAATGCAAATCAAATGCATCTTCAAGGGGAATTGTCTAAGACGGTAATCTCTCAATTTCAAGGATGCCTCTTTCAACCAGCACCAGCCTTCTGTGAAACAAGCAGCTTCTTTGGCAGGTCTGAAAGAAAGAATGAGGAAAATGAAAGGATCACTCATAACTGCCCTCCTGGAGTTCTTTCAAGAATATGCTTCCATGACAGATAAAGGAAATTCAGAGGCTAAGAGCCACTCTGCTAAAATTTATAGGAGGCTTTGGCATAGATCCACATGAAAGATAAATGCAAATGTGTAAGGAAAAGAAGGATATGTCAGGGTGAGAATATCCTTCATATGACAAGGAAGGCAGTGATTCTGGGATGTAAATGCAGCCTGTTGAACAATCCTTGAAAATAACATTTTAAAAGAACATCAGGCAATCAGAAGACCTATGGGGAAATTGGCTTAGAATCCAAAACTAGATAGTCTGAGTGTTCAAGCATTGTAAGGCATGGATTATCTTAAAAATTTTCTCAATGTTGAAAGATCATTGTCATTAATGGTGTAGAAATTATAAAGCTGGGTCACTTTTTGGATAGTTTTGAGTCAATAAAACAATAACATAAACCACAATTAACACCATATTCAGCCATTCTTTTCAAGCTATTCTTTTCTTTCATCATATTAATAGGATTTTAAAAAGTATAATAGGTACCTTTCCAAATTGCAAACTACAGATGTCCTATAAAAACCCAAAATATTCAGGCCTACTTCAGAAATTAGCCAAATTCCCCATTTGGGAGAAAGAATTTAAGTTGGAGATAGAGCCAATAAAAAGATAAAATACTGCCAGAGTATAGAAGACTTGGATCATTTCAATGATGTTGCCAACAGATGGTAAATACAGGGCAATGGAAGATAATGCCAAAATAATTACTTCTCAAGCCAGGAGCCAAGCTAGGGAATGTGCTCTGAGAAAAGACCATTCTGCCCACTGCTCAGGAAAAGGACACACACACAAGTATTAGGAGAAAAATAATCAAATCTATGGAAGTCAGAGACTAGTACTGAGGTTAAAAATGTTCAATTGAAGAAAATGAAAAAGGGGAAACAATATTTTAGATACACCTACTAAGAATGAAACTCTATAAAAGTAATTCAATAATAATAATACCTATCTTTTTAAGGCAGTATGTGATAGGCCTTGTGCCAAATGCTTTTATAGGTATATTTTAATTCAACTCACTCAAATGCGATGAGCTTGACTTTATCATTACACTATTTTACAGAAGAGGAGACTGAGGAATAAAGAAGTTTAATTCTCTTCCCAAGATCACACAACTTGTAAGTTGTGGAGCCAGGATTCCCTACAAGGCATTTTGACTTCAGAGACCCCACTCTTGGATACTGCATTGTGCAGAAGGTCAAATGGTGCATGTAAACCCCTAAAAAACAACTTAACTTTCTGTTGAAAGGCAAACCAACTATGCAAGCCTGGGACACGATGACAATATTACTCTGTTTACCTAAGACTCAAAAACTCACTGATCCAAACGTTTAATTAGAACATTTAATTAGCACTTACTATATCACAGGCAGCATGGTAGGCATGAGAGAGAAGACAACTTAATTCCTTCTCAGGAAGAGTTTATTGTGGAGTGGGGATTAAGACAGATATGTAAACAAACAATCATAAATGCAATGCAGGAAGTGCCTCCTCAGATACATTCAAAATGTAAAAATTTGCAGATTTATCATTTGATTTTATTGTATTTTTATCTCAAATAAGGATGGAAAGATGGAAAGGAAGAAAGGGATGAAAAGTAACTAGAAAGATTAAAACAGAATGTCTGAAGATGATAATTTGCAATTTATAAAGATATCTGTAAAAAGCATTCAAATATGAAATGCAGACTGAGAAAACAATCTAACAGTATTAAAAATGCATGAAATAATTTTACTGAAGGGCATGTATTGGGGGAGAAATGTGCTCACCTAAGTAACTTTGGAAATGAGTGAAGATTATAAGACTAAATGCAAAAGAAACTTTACATAAGCATTACTCTCTTGTTGATAAAGTTGTTTCCCATGGAAATATAGTTAACCATGCTTAAACAACTACACAGGTATATTGGAACTGAATAATCAAGTTCATGGATGGTGGTAGCCAAGTTTCTCACTATTGGAGTGACAGACAACAGACATACAGGTTCCAAGACTAGAATAATCCATGTGGTAATGGTTAGAGTTGGAGGCATCAGTATGAACTGCTGAATAGCTTAATATAGATACAGATGGAAATGTTCAGAAATATATATGTGTGTGTGTGTATGTATGCATAAATTAACATAGACACATATATTTTCTTTTCCTGTCAGCTGCAAAGATCTAAAAGAAGCAAAGCACTGATAACAACAACCACGACTAAAGCCCAGATGTTGGTTTCTAATACCATTCTCTAATGCCACAGATCTTTGGATAAATATCTAATTCTAGGACTGGAGCAGTAAATATACTAGATGAGTCTGGAGCATCTTGTAATGAAAAATAAAAACTAAATAAAAACCCACATTGATGGGTATATGCCAAAATAATGGCACCAGAGCCAACTACAAGAGCTCCTAATGGCTAAAGCTGGAATAATTTGAACAATAATCATGTTAGATTATAACCCAAAGTATAAAATAAATGTCCATAAATCCATACCAATATAAATAGCTGATTGAATAAACAGAGGGTGGAGAATAAAGAAATTTCTCATGCAGAGGAACTCCAAATAATTTACAAAGATATTCCATCTTCCAGGAGGTGAAACACACAACTCCCTACCCTCAAAATGTAGACTATGGGTAGAGATTTCCTTCCAAGGAATAAAGTATGAAAAAGGCGGAAATACCTTTAGAGTAGAGAAACCTGACAAACACTACCTCAGCCAGGCAATCAAGGTTAATATCAACAGGGATAACATATGTTGATAATATGTACCCTTGAGATGACATGATGACAATGGCACTTGGCTTCTGCGGCCTACTGCCCAAATACCCACACCACCAATTTAATCACAAGAAAATAACCATATAAATCACTACTGAAAAACATTCTACAAAAAGCATGAATAGTACTCCTCAAAACTATCAAAGTCAACAAAAACAAGGGAAGTCTAAGGAGCTGTCATAGCCAAGAGGAGTCTTAAGGAGACATGAGGGCTGTACACAATGTGGTATCTTAGATAGGAATCTGGAACAAAAAAAAGACATTAGGCAAGAACTAACAAAATATGAGTAACTAGTAATATGGACACTAGTTGATAATGTGTCAGGGTTGGTTCATTAATTGTGATGAGTGTATCATACTAATGGAAGGTAATAATAACAGATGAAATCAGATGTGGAGTATGCGAGAGTTCTCGGTACTAACTTTGCAAGTTGTGCACAAGTCTACATCTATTTTATATTCAAAAGTTTATTAAAAATAAATATCCAGGCGGCAGCCTCCCCATCTTGGTGATGCTGTTTAGCCCCTGCGCGCGCTGGAAATAAATCCTCTTGCTCTCTTGCATCAAGCCTCTGGACTCTGAGTCTTTTTGGGCGGTCGTCTCTCTCTCCCAAACGGGCTGTACATTTCTACGGCCCAACATTTGGGGGCTCGTCCGGGATCGGAGAGGCGACCCCTCTTAAAAAGACCGGTGGCACCAGGCTTGGAGGTAGGCCGACTCCGGAGTTGTCCTTTATGTTTGTCTCTGTGTTGTATGTGATGTGTCAGTTTTGAAGTTTGAATTTGGAACGACAGGGTACTAACTCCGTGAGGAGGAAGTTCCTCTGGACCAAGATAGGGTTCTTGGCGGCCAGAAAAACTGTCGCCCTGGAGGACGCTCCAGGGATTAGGGGTGACCAAGTGGCCTTGGTCGACTCCATTTGTTTGCCTGCAAGTTGTTGCAGGATTGGGCAAGGTAACCCTAGGGTAAGGTATCGTCCTTTGTCTGTGTTTGTGTGCAAAAGCAAGTGGCTTCGGTATTTGTCTACTGTCTGTGTTGTCGTCCTTTTCTCTTTAATTCTCCTTTTTACTCATCCAGGAATTATGGGCCAAGGGAAGAGTACTCCTCTCTCCCTCACCCTGACACATTGAAAGGAAGTACGAGACCGGGCCCACGACCTGTCCGTCATCATCCGGAAGGGCCCCTGGCAGACGTTTTGTGCCTCTGAGTGGCCCTCCTTCGGCGTGGGGTGGCCCTCAGATGAAACTTTTAACCTTTCTGTTATTTCTGCAGTGAAAAAGAAAATCTTTGCACCGCACCCCCAAGGACACCTGAATCAAGGTCCCTATATCATTGTCTGGCAGGACCTCACCCAAAACCCTCCTTCTTGGGTAAAGATGTTGGTGCCTCAGCCTTCTCTTGCCCTAGTGGCCCAGAGGGCTCCAACAGATCCAGCTCGGCGACCTCTACCCCTAACTGATCCCCAGGCAGAATCCCTCCTCCTGGAATCTCCCCCACCCTATGTCCCCCAGTCTGCTCTAACCCAACCGCGTAAAAATCCTACAGAACCTCAGGCTCATGGGACGGTTGCCTCCTCTTGCCGGACTATTCAGTGTAGATGAGGTCTGGGATCCCTTCAGAACATGCTGTTACTGTAGAAGATTGGGGCCTAGTTTGCCAGGAGCACCAAAGCTAGGAATCGCCCCATATATTAACTCATAGATATCTCTGTCTCTAAGACTAACTCGCGACCTGTAGATAGATGCATTTCTAACATACTAGCCTACACATGCATCTTAATGGTGGTATAAGGTATGTGACAAAGTAGAAGGGACATTGCTGCAAACTGGCCTGACACTGCTGCTTTGTACATTGATCTAACACAAGTGTTAGGTGATCTATTTTGGTTTAAGAAATGTTTATAGAATTTACATACTACTGCATCCCACAAATTTTACCTATATTTGATGCTGCCAACATGCTAAGGGTAACAAACGTCACAAGCGATTGGCGTTTCACAGCCAACATAGACGCGTTTTCTAACAAAGGTTTGCCACTCCATACTTAGTACACCGTCCATGATGCTAGCCGGGGGGACCAGAGAAGATGTATCCACACGCAATGCTATATGTGAGAGAATAAGGGGGAAGTATCAAGAGGACTTATTTTTGTGGGCACAGTTTTGATTTTCTAGCAGAGATGCAAAGACATAGAAAAGTAACATGGTGAGACGTCGCCATTTCGATTAGTATTTTCCTAGTCTCGTCTTGGATAGTTGATAGCTGGGTCAGGGACAGTAGATTACTTCACATTCTGTTTTCCGCCAGTATATATAGCATGAGTCCTTTCCTCTGTAGCTAAAATGGAGCAACATTCAGCTCTTTGAACACGTGAGTCCGTAAGT